AATAGTTGGGGTTTTAATTGACTATGATAGGAAAAGTCTTTTACGAAAGTCGCGATGGGTCCATTTTTCCACAGAAAGCTATAGGGAAAAATGGGTATTTTTGCAATAACTCAGGAACGGCGCGACCGATCTTTCTCATCTTCGAACTCGACCGAGGTACTCTCAAGACTAAGCTGTGTAGAAAGTTTCATCACAATCTGACTCTGCTGTCAAAAGTTATTATGCAAACAGCCAATCGGATGGACGGACACACTGACTATTCTATAGTGTACTCACTTTTTGAGTACACAAAAGAAAAAAATATTTTGATTAAATATTATCAATAAATATAATCACGAAGCTATCACGCAGGACAAATATGTGCGAGGTAAACTCAGGTAATTTAATACCTCATTATAAATAGTTATCACATGTTGCCTTATTTTCACTAGAAATGATACAGATGATGGTATTCTGCAAAATCGTCAGAATTATAATTGATTCAGAAGATTTTGTTGATTAAAGGTAGCTAAGAAAAACTCCTGAATCAATTATACATAAGTTTAACTTTGTTGCACCATCATTTCTTCATAACAGACGCACTTTTTACTGGACACTCATCACTTAATTTTTCACTCCAATCAGTCTCATTTGGAAAGGGTGAAAAGTGCATGTAAGAAATATTTCACCCATAATAATCAATGAGAAAGTGAAACTCCGATCGTATAACAGATAAGAATGAAGAAAAAGAAAAATGACGATTTCGAAGGTAAGCCACGATTCCTATTTACGCTCTGTCATGTGTAAATAGCGATAGTCAAATCATTGTAGATAGTCAATAATGTTTGTCATGTATACATACTATTTTTTTCTCTTTCGTATCTTGTTAGTCGTCTCTATTCATCATTGTTAAACATTAACACATGTGAGCATAAGCCTTTTTTTTTTCACTACAAAAGAATCGCCAAAATAAAACTTTTCTTTTGCTTTTCTTTCTTCACAATAGCACGTGTGTTGACATTTAAGATGAAAAACATGCAGTGGTATGCTCTCGTCGTTACCTTTATATTAGTGGTGAGAAATGGACAATCAGCAAAAACAAAGATCATAGATAAAAATGATGATATACGTTCCATTTCGAGTGGATCATCATTTGGAGAATGTCTTGGCTATTGTCGTCGATCAATTAATATAACAAATGTTCCGATTCGATTAATCGCATTAAAAGAATCAAATGGAGATTCAATAAAATATCCAACTATTCAACGACAATTCCGTTTCCCTTCGAGTCGATGGAAAAAACTTACTGCCATTCTCGATACACAAAAATTTCTAAAGTTAGACGATCGTATAGGCTGTCCTGATTGTGCAGATGGTGGTGCAGAATGGATTCAAGTAAATTGGTCAAAGAAAAGCAAACGTGTAACATTCGAACATGGAAAATTAGTCAATGGTATTGAAGAGCTGATTAATTATTTGCGCATCCTCAGAAAGCAATATTTGAAAGATCTGTGAAATAAGAATAAATAAATGATCATGAAACTGAACAAAACGATAGAAGTTCGCATCGATATGTTGCATATTTAGGTTCACAGGCATGCATATATATATAGATGATATAGACATACGTGAGAAAGTTCCACAGTCGAAAATGATTTGTTTCGTACGCCTATAGTGGCAAAATAGCAGCGAACATAGATTTTGGGTGCTGCAGCAGAATTTACATTTAACTCTGCAAAAGTCGTCATGAAACACAGTGATCTCTACGTAGAGTGGGTGCGAGTACGTGCCTTTTCTCTTGCTACATTCACATTCATACCCTTCTCCTTTCAATTGAATGATCATTTATGTAATCCATCCTAGCAAAATAATATTATCTTTTGATTGTATGTGCACCACTTATTGCTTCTTCATTCAATAGTTATGAGAAAAAAAAACAAGATAAAAATAAATCATCTTATAATTCTTATACTGATTCAAATCATTTTCATTGTTTGTCGAACTAATAGCAATGAAAGCATGAGTTTATTCTTAAGATGTTACATCCATTTTATAATAACTATACATCATAACTATTCTAATCAATTTTAGTATCATCATTTTTGAAGTGCTATGCATAAGTGATTTATGAGAAATCTAAACGAATACTAAATGAAAAGTTTATAATGATATTTTAATTAAAGCTTTATGAAATATGTGCAGTTGTCATGGATATTATTATTATATTCAATAGAAGATAATTTAACCCTTTCGCGGCGATTCGATTTTCCTTGAAAATAGCTTTAACATATTGATCTTCATGTGTATTCACGCTCAATAAACGCATTCATTGATCTTTTCAGTATGTGCAGCCATTCGTTTTTCTTTTTGTTGTTTGTATCATCTCATGGTAGATCGTTTATCACGTCGAACTGAATAGCTACTCAAGTCTGTCTTTTTTTGTGTTACATATATTGAAGAGTAGGAACGAAATAAAGAAGCGAAGTTTCAATTTTTTTTTGCATTCTTTTCGTAGTATTATGTTTCGCTCTTTCTTTTCGTTTGTCTGATAAAGACCGAAATTTTACGGTGATACTGACTAAGATAGAGAATTTTAGAACATTTACATGTGTTGGACATATCCATAATTCGTAACCAGGATTTTTCTAACATGATATATTGTTTTTTTTCCGTCGTTTTTTCTTCTGTGGTCTATGCGATTTTTCCAACTTGCCAACATATGTATATGTACAACATTTCTGAAATAGCTCGAGAGTTTGGGCCAAGTGATGTCTCGATCGATGATAGAGCTCATTCTAGTCTATGAAATTTCCCCGATCGTTTAATTCACACATTGATTGCGTGAGTGTGAGTTTTTTCATCCACACGCACATCTACAGACGAGAAAAATGTACTATAAATTGTAGTGTGCTCCGTTAAAAAATCGAACTCAATCTTGAACTGAATGCATGTTCTTCAGCATCTATTTCTACTCACCCTTGTGCGAAACAGTAATAGAATTAAGCTGAGAGATATATTTCTTCATGAGAGCTATTTGCGATTCACCACTAAAGTTGTCGATGCAGTCAATAAACCAGGCATGGCCAAGCTCCTGATCGATTGAGTCGATTTTCTGCGAGGCAATGAGCATGTTCCAAAGTTCTTCTCCCCCTTTAAGTATCAAGTAATAATGACCTTTTTCAAGAGTAAAGTGAGTAAGTCCAGATGCATCTTGATCAATTCTTCTCGAGTGAAGCAGCCTTTTAGGAGTGTACTGCTTGTACTCGTTCGTCTGTTTTGTTCGAGAGAGCTGTTTGACAGGTGTCCAGCGTTTGCAAGAGTAGCGAAATAATATCGTACCTATTAACTAACACAGGAATGAGATTTCTTGATCCTGTGTTAGCTGTGCTGTCTGATTCGTGTCGTATGAGAATTTCAAGATGGCACACAGCAGGAATGAACCAATTTCCTTTCCTCTTTAGGTCTTCAAGACACTTCAAAGAGTAATAACTCTTCAGCCTATTCCAGGTATGACAATCATTGTTGATAATCAGCTGATGGCAACGTAAAAGATGATCGAGTATTGTTCGACTCACAGTTTCTTCATGGGCCATTGTCGAGATCATTTCGGCCACCTACAAACGAATAATATTTTTCTTCAATTAAGAACTTACATATTTTTATAGAGCTCATCGAGCTGCTTTGAAATATACAATATTTAATTCTATTAGTAGATGTTTCGGATCCAAATTTTTAGAGTAGATACTGTGCACAAAAAATAGAAAAACTGAGCGTTCGAAAAAAGCTATGGTTGCCTTCGGATTGTGTTCATCATTGCAGACTAACTTCGGATGTTTATATCCTATTGATTTTGATCGCAACTGTCTTATTCAGGTAACTTGATTATGCACGGTTCTGGAAAAAATGACCGTTACATCTTTGCGATTCGTTCTGTTGATTTGTATGCTGAGTTATATGTATTTGTCATTCATTATTCGAACCGTCAATTGGCGGGCAATGAAAATATGTATTAGTTATCTATCTTTTGTTCCGTCATTGAAGAATGTCTATTGAACTAGCAATTTTTGTCTTCCAAGCACAAAAGTTTAATTATTTCATCAAGAAAGCTTCGGGTGAAGTAAAATCTGGTTGTATGGAATACCCATACTCACACTTTATGATTGCAATGAATATCAACATGATTTTATCAGGCGAATGGAATACTGGTTTCTTAGGGACTCCTAAATGCGATACTTACTAAAGATACATTTTCTTTGAAATAGCGAAGCCAATTTAACTGTGTCGTATACACGGTACTTTTACAATTCAAATCCGACACTATAATTGAATGCAATACACAAATTCTGACAGATTTGAATTCTTTTTCAATGTTTTGAGTTCAGTCTACGAATCCTCACCGTTTTTTTTTTATTAAATCTCGAAAAAATATTTGAGAGGATTGTTGCCTCGATACATTCGAAAATCATGCCTTAGAATGCTTTTCGTTCCAGCAGAACAAGACATGAGCCTACACAAGGAGTTGAATCATCAGAACGGCACTCGCGGGCTATTGTGCACAAGAATTCTATCAATGTCTCGTGAACAAGAATGGGCTCTGATCTCCAACACTAGAAGAAAGAACAACAAGTTTTTACTGTGCATGAGCAGGCAACAAATCAGACTTCGAATACAAATAAGATCAAATGGCTCAACTGTTTCAAACTGAATCGAACCGTCAAAGAGCCAATCAGAGCAAAGAGATGATCGGATCTAGAAGAAATTGAATCTTCTGCAGAATGATGCTTCAAATCTGTACAACACGAAAACAGAAGCTTACTAGCGCCTTCAAAACATGCGCTTTGTTCTTTGCATGATTGTTGGATAGAAGAAAGTGCAAAAGCATGTGCATTTTGTCAGTGTATTAATTTCGATCAATTTTATCTGGAAATACATGTAAGAGTAAATCGCAAATGGAGAGCCATCGAAGAGAGAGATCTAACCCTCGGATGCTTTGAAGAGAAGCCAGTATTCAATTAAACATTCTACAAAGAGGTGTTGATGCATCTGTCTTGACGCATTCGTCAAGCCGTGAGCGATTGTTCTGTTCAAATAAAACAAACGAATTCATTGTTTTCCGATGTTATTTATGAAAGCACTTTTGTATTCAGAAAAAGATAGCAAGAGATATGATACTGCTAGCATAAAACAAAACTGAGTCTTTCGACGCCAAATATTTAGACTAGAAAAAAAAGTATTTTTACTTTACGGTAATGATCTCCGAGCTCGAGCCACTACGAGGGCAATGGTCTTTAAAACATTAGAGAAGTACGTTCATTTGATGTTTTGTATTTTAACTTTTCTGATTAATTGCACCTATTGTTTATTTCAACACAGCATTCGTTAACAGGTATAGCGATATAAAAATAAAACCTCTCTGCTAAACCTGACATAAATGAGAACCTACTCTGAGAAAATCTGTTTTTCTCGATCTTCTAAACAACGTAGTTACTTGAGTGACGACCTGGCTAATTCTCTGCTTGGCGTTATGAAGCCATTATCTTATTGCAAAAACGAAATTCTCTTTTCTTTTGGTCGAACACGGCCACTTTTCAATCTTAGATTAAGCAGTAATGTCAAGCTTTAAAAGTTGGGTTCAACTATTCTTACACAAAATAACTGCTTCTCTGCTGTCTCTTCCACTGTACTAATTGAAAACCGACTAAAAGTAGAGCCATCAGTTTTCATCAGCGAAGTAAAGAAGAAAATGATTGTCTTGCTCAAGGAAGAACGCTTAAAAAAATTCATGCCTCTTATTTACTTCAAAAACAATATTGTTTGAGCATTTTCTCTTTCAAAGAACGTATGGTACAATGAAACTTACCCGGTAATTGTAGTAGTTTGTGATGATTTGATTCAAAGATGTATTCAGGGCGAAGAAGAAAAAATAAATGTGTTTGATTGATAGGAAATCGAACAATTCATAAATGACTTCTCTCGCGATAAGTTTCAGGTGCGTCGCAGGCAGTTGATAGTTGTCAGGCGAAAGAGGTGAAGACGATAGTCGCGCAAAAGAGCTCAGCTAAAGTGAGAGATGGGTCTCTGTTCACCAATTGACAGACATCTGTTTGCGGAACATTTTCGTTTTCGGACATGGTCAAAGTTGTACTAACACGTAGAACGACAGCTGTGTTAGGAATAAGTCGTACTTTCTACTGAAAACAACAGGCATTAATGGAGTGAAAAGAAAAATATTCTGACACATGAAATACGTCAAGAAATGAGTGCCGAAATGAGAAAAGGAGAATTGTGCGTGTCGGATTCTCGTCTCTTCCACAATTAACACATTCTTTTGAAAGAAAGCCATGAACGTAGTAATCGATGATTAATTCTACTAATCTGAAATGATCTTGCCATATGATGTATTCCATCATGTAATCGATCCAATTCATGTAATCGATGTAATTCATGCCATTGATATAATTTATGTATAGCTTTCGAAGAGTAAATTGATTGAGTGCTAATGAAATATGATCACGTGGTCTCACCATTTAGCATTCGATGAAGAGTCAATGAACGAAGTCGAGTAAGTCGACCAAAATGTGAAAGTGAAAATACTGATACTATTTCATCCATCTTCATATTATCGTTGGCAAGGATCAAGGAAATGATCCTTTTGGTTCTACTGAAACAAAAAATCAATTCTATCCTAGATAATCATTTTGAATTGATGACAAATTCAAATCGATTGTAACTATTAACAATAGCATAGAGACTTTTGCAGCCAGAATAAATTGAAAGAAGAATTCTCAATGCATCACAATAATCAAATATGCGATCGACTAATTCCACAAGTAGAGTAACAATGGATACATCCGTTATGAAAATGCCAGTTCTTATTGCTAATTTGTGTTGGAATTCTAAACAAAGTGATGAATAAATATCGTATTAAAGACATGCGCTATCTGGATTGAACAATATTATAATGAAAGACTTTCAAAATATAAATGCTTTTGACTAAGAGGTGGAACTAGAGAGTAATAGAGAGAAGTATGACTGTGTAATGTTGAGTTTCTTGTTGATTTTCACAGTGTATGCTGCTTCTGCTTCACCAATTCATATTATGGGCAGAAAATTTTCACCAGAGTGTTCAGAAATTACGTCTTATGTTTAAAGTTAGAGAGTTGACACGAAAACATACCTAAAACAAATTAATAGACAATTGATTTCAAATACTAGCAATGCAAATGTCTCTCTTTCAAACTATTTTCTTCGCTCAAACTTATATATGAATATATATCACGTATAATACTCGGATCTTAATTTTATTCTGTTTTTATAGTCAGCCTATTCAAGCACATTTAGTAGTATCTAGTAACAGAGCACCTAAATAGAGGAAAGAAAGCACTTCAATTTGTCTCGTTGATTGCTCACAGATAGCTGTGACGAGCAGAAATCTTGTAACCAATTGTTTATTTTTTTCAGATTTTTTCTTTTCTTCACTTTACGGATGCATTGAGAATTTGAGCAACAAAAATAGAAAAACAAACATGATCGTAGAGTTGCAGGTAAAAAATTTAAATAAAAATCAGTAAAACTGATCCATTTGAATATTTAACTCAACTGTTGGCCTATGGTCTCGCCGATGAAAGAGAGAGGAATCCGAGCTGTTCAAGAAGTGGTTAACGATAATAACGAAGAAAGAAGAAGCTTAAAGCTACGAAAAACGGGGTGGTAACATTTCTGAGCAGCCCAGAAAATGTAAGTTTTAGCGACCATTGATCAAAAAAGTTGAGAAGAAGCGACTTGTCACTTTTCTACAAGCTCCTTTACAACAAAAAGCTACAACTATTACTCAAGTCTAGTACCCAGTATAATTTCATTCGTGGATGTGGGTAAGCATGTTCTGAGCTTCTTTCGCTACTCTCAAACACTTTATACTAATAGCTTGAGTTCTGAGATGAAAGGCTGAGTCATTTGATCTAGCCTATCAAAATATGGACAAAATAATCCTCGACAAAAAGAGACATCTCCAATCTCTGGGCTCCAATTATTATAATTTCTATTTGCACCATAAAAAGATGTCTTAGGCGAGCTTTACCGAGTCTAGGTTCGGTCGGATTCGGTTTGCAAAGTTCTCATAAAAATCAAAAAATTTGTTGCACAGAGCTCAGGTACGTCTCACTTGATATAGTAGCATTTTCTCTATCTTGTGATAGCCTGGATTTATGATTCAGTCTTTCATTTCAAAGCTCAAGTTGTTGATATAAAAGGCTCAAAAATAAGGCAAAAAAGCTTGGATGATGTCTCGATGTGAATGTAAATAGATGTGGGTGTTAGAGGAGGAAGGATACACAATAACATCCACATCCACACCCGGTTATTGAAAAATATTATGTATGCCATGCATATTTCCAAAAACTTCAGCGTTATCCGTTGTATAATGGTAAACTTCATAGCAATGCTGTTAGTTCTGAATATTTTATGAATCTACTTCGGAAAAGCATGGGAAAGGTCAAAGCATATTGTCTACCAACAGCATCGAATAATATCAATGTGCAAGACCTATTGACGATCATATATCCATGGTGCTTTTTACAATATATTTAAAGTATAGAATCATTTTATTAAATGTCCTTGTATTTTGACTTTAGCTGACTCTGATATAGAAGGTGCTATTATTCATGAAATATTTATATCTGAATCATTGAGTCATATATCTAATGTTCCAATAGCATTTGGAGATACCCGATTACCAACTTATGATATTTCTCTTGTTACGGAGTTTATTGATGGTCAGAATCTTGCTACATCACTGATTGATGACACAATAATGAATTTGACATTCAAAGAACGTTCAGACATTGAACTTGGAAGTTGTAAAGGACGTGAGTGATGGAAGTGCTTCATCATTTCAATCTGACGTTTATTTTCTTTCATTTACATCCTGCGCACCACTGGCAGTTAAGTATCCTTGTATGGATGTCAAATATATGGAAACAATAACGAAATTCACAATAAAAGAAGAAAATTCAAATGGTTGGAGTGGTTTGGTGTTCATCTGACAGTAACAGTAGTATCAGATATGTTGAGAAACGTTATTGAAAAAGGCTGGTTACCGACACCTGAATATGGTGCGGCCATTGGTGAAATTATTGGTACAGTAATAAAAACGATTAGTTCTAATTAAAAGACATGAGTGCAAATGTTATGGGCATATTTTTCTTGATCCATCAAAAATTCATCATACGATTTGATTGACGAATATCATACCTTTGAATTGTTAGTAATTCAAGAAATCATAATAAGACTAGTGAACGAAGATGATGAAGCTATTCAACTCCTATTAAAAAATGACGCTTGGAATTGACGAAAAATAGAGAACTCGCACGGATCTTGAACTATTAAAAATTCATAATGTTTAATAATTATAATCATAGTGAATAGCTGTTCGAAAAATACGGATTTAACAGGTAATTGTCTCGTTTCCACGTTATTTTTTATAATTTGGTGTCTGCTTATACTCCTTAGTGTTATGACTTTTTCATGCATCATGTTTTAACCTACCATTGTCCTTCCCTGTCATCCATTGTCTAGTTATTCCTCTCACCCATAACGATGTATTTCTTTCCATGTGTAATCTATGGATACTATAGAATCAATTAGATACTAGATGATAAGATTAAAATTGTTACACTAATGATATGAATCAAGTTATTTGGTTGAATGCTGGTGGAATGATTTTTGAAAAAAACGATTACTTGGACTGAAGTCAGAAAGTGTAGTTGTCGGTGGATGTGAATATGAATGTTGATGTAGACGTGAAGTGGAGGCATGCTTATGGATGTCCGACTCCTTTTCATGCATAGTCGCACCTAAATTTATCTTACTATCCCTCACCAATACAAACAAATTCTCAACAGGATGAGAGTAAGCAATCGAACGAGAGTAGATGCGGCAATAAAAGAATACACACTTTGAGTCAGCATATAGCCATACAGCCTGAGGAATATTTGAAGCCTGTTCGTTACGAAAATTCTCAAGTATTCCATTATTGTTTTTCTTCTTTAGAGCTAAATAAAAATAAAACTTAAACTAAAAAAATGAATTTATCCTTTTCGAAAAAATTACACTTGTTCAGATTTTTCTCTTCTGATTATTTTTCTTTATAAAACTTTCATAATTCTTCTCTCATTGCTCAAACTTCGAAATGAGCATCCTTTCTCTTCTTCTTTCGTTCATTTTATGCGATTCCAAATTAGCTTCTTTCGCTCATAGATAACATAATATTGGGAAAATCGAAAAAAATCGAAAACTAAGAAAGAGACATGAGTGTGGGTTATGGTCTTTTCTTCAATCTCAGCCATAGCCACAGCCATGCTGACTCCTATCTGCTTACATTCAATTCTATCATGGGAAAAAAGCATACTATTAATAGTATATTAGAATGCATCATGATCATCGCTAACAAAAATCTTAAAAACCTTTTCTATTATTATTGGCTCAGAGCAACTGCCCATCAAGCAGAAGGCGCATGGTTCAAGTTTTGCGAAGGGTGCATCTGTTTCACAGTTCATTAGTCATTGCAATATACTGCCTAGTCTCATTGGCTTTTAACATTTACAGGTAATAAGAACAACAATGAAACTATCGGGTGTCCCAGGAATAATGAGCCTCCCAGTATTTTTAAGATTTCCTGTCTATTATCACTGTAAGTAAAGCTCTCATTATTATCAAAAGATAGCGCTTAAAATTCTCTACAAAACCA